AATGACAAAATGAACATACAACAAAAGGAAAAACTGGGGGCTAGCGATATGACTCAGTGGTTATCAGCACCGGCTGTTCTTGCAGAGGACCCAGGTTCAGTTCCCAGCACCCACATGGTGGCTCAAACCACCTGTAACTCCAGTTGCAGAGGCACCTTCTGACCTCTGCCAGTACCATGCATACACACGGTACACATACATGCAGGCAAAGCACTCACACACATAAAACAAAAAGAAATAAACCTATAAGAAGAAAAAAGGAAAAACTGGACTTTATCACAATGCAAGTCAAAGAACACTATCAAGAAAAGTGGGGAAAAAAATCAACTTCTAGCTTGGGAGAAGAGTTTTCACGGCGTGGGTGGATTTGCTGAGGACTTTACAGCTGGTTCTACAGAGAACTCAGGACAAAAAGCAAACCAGGTCTGGCGAAATAGCTCAGTCAGTAAAATGCTTGCTTTACAGACACTCAGACACGGTTTTTCTTTGTAGCCCTGGCTGTCCCAGAACTCACTTTGTAGACCAAGCTGGCCTCGAACTCATAGAGATCTGCCTGCCACTGCTGGCGTTAAAGGCTTGCGTCATCACTCTGGCTACAGAGATTTATATTTAGGGGGTGAAAAAGCCTTCTATGGTAATGCTTGTTTGTAATCTCAAAGCTGGGGAGGCAGAGATTGGAGGATTCCAGGGGATCAGTGGCCACCAGGCTAGCTGTACACTCTAGGCCAAAGAGAGACCATGTCTCAAAATAAGGTAGACATTAGAAGTTCTACATATACTCATGGCATGTTCACCCCCAACAACATGTACGTCCACATATGCACACTCATACACACATGTGCAAATTAATCTTTAAATTGGCAAAGGATTTAAATAGACATTTTTCAAAAAATAGATATACATATATAGACAGATAGATAGACAGATATAGATATAGATATAGACATATATGTATACACACACACACACACACAAAACAAAAAGACACAGGAAGATTGCTCAGGGATTTTGTTCAGCATGGAAAACCAAACCAAATCCAGAATGGTGAATGGCTTCACACCCGACGGTATGACTAGAACCAAAGTCCATCCTGGCGAGAAATGAAGGCCTCGTATCCTTGATGGGATAGCAAGCAATCCAGTTGCTTTGGAAACAGTCTACTGAAGCCTCAAGACATTAACCTGAGTCACCCAGCATCCATCTTTGGAAGCCCCCTCTCCTTGGTGCGGACTCTACCTCCAAAAAGCTTGCCAAGCATTGACCCCTTGCCAGGAAGGGTCAGGACCACTCCCACACAACCAGAGAAGAAACAGTGGTCTTCGGGTTTTGCTTGCTGTCTCTCCCCACCCCATGCTCTCCCGGCCACCCAGGAGTGCTGCATTAAACGTAGGCATCTTTTATTCAGTCTAATTTGGTCCCATTGGAACCATCATTTGAGTCATTTGAGTCGGCAGAGAGGCTCATCTTAAGATTATTCCTAACAACCTTATGCGATTCCATTTCTTTAGCTAAATGCCCCAAAGAATAAGCAAAACAAACAAACAAACAAACAAACAAATTCCATGTCTTTTGCAGAAGTCTGCCCATTAAGGTTCATGGTAGTCATAATAGTCAAATATGGAAACAACTCAAATGTTTTCCCAGTGGTGAATGCAAAAACCAAGTCATGTACTCATTAATGGGATGAAGTAGCATTTGACTACAGAAATAATAAAATACTCACACACTCTACAGAACGGATGTTTGTGTGTATGTCTATATGCTTGTGTGTGTGTAGTATGCATGTATGTGCACATACACTTGCCCATGAGTGCACATGTAGAAGCCAGAGGTTGATTTCAGATGTCTTCCTCCATTGCTCTACACACTATTTTTTTTGAGACGGTCGCTCATTAGACCTGGGCCATCACTGGCCAGTAAGCTTGCTAATCCATTTGTCTCTATTACTTTGCACTGGGGTTACAGGTGCCTGTCACCTCACTCAGCTTTTTACGCGGGTGCCAGGGATCCAAACTCAGATCCTCATGTCTGTGCAGAAAGCATTTTATGGACTGCACGGATAATTCTTGGAAGCATGATGGCAGCCTTCAAAGCCTAAGGACCGTGTGGTGCAGAACTCCATTTCCATGTAATGTGCAAAGCAGGCAAATGCAGGTTAATGATTTCCCCCAGGCAGACAAATGGGAAGAATGGGGAGTGCCTGCTAGCAGGTACAATGCTCTTTAATGAGGTGAAGTTCTAATTAGCTAATGGGGACAATTTGTCCAAACTTATAATCATCTATGATCCCTGGAACTGTACACCTTATAAAAGGTCAACTTTACAAATGAGTCAGATCTCAGTAAAACTAACCCTGGTCATGAAATCATGGCCAGGGAGGACACAGCCTCCACCCCAGGGGGGCACTAATGTTTTCTTTGATAGATGGACATGGTATCATACTTTGCATTTTTACTGTTTTTGGAACTGAGGACTAAACCCACGGCCTTGTGCTTGCTAGGCAAGTGCTCTACCACTGAGCTAAATTCCCAACCCCATATCAAACTTTCTAAATACTTCTGTTTACACCCATAGACTGGTGCTGCCTCAGCCTGGGCCTGGGAGCCTTCTATTGTAGCTTGTGACAGTGAATGCAGAGACTAGTAACTGGTCGAGGTGCCCTGACTAAATGACCAGTTGAATGCTTTGCCCTACATGGGATATCTGTATCTCCCCTGCTCCGACTCAGGGAACAGCAGGAGTAGGGGCAGGAAGGAAGAATTGGAGGATGGGGTGGAGAGGGGTGAAATGCTGTCTCCTGGAGGACATGACTGCTGGACCCCCAGGCTTACAGCAGCTGTGGCTGCTTGCTTGAGACCTTCCCAAGACCCCATCCCTCCCTAAAGAGCCATAGGTAGCTAATATTTATTGGGGAGGGGAGTCCCATTCCTTAGTGGTGTGGTCCCTGGTAAGTTGTCCTTGTTCAAGTAAATAACCCCTTACCCACACTCACATAGGCACCCTTACAAAGTGCATGCACCACCGTGCCCTCATCCTTTAGAAGTGATTCTAAGTATTCTAAGAGTAAAATGAGCCAGAGGGATTCCTTCCTGGATCTCACTCTGTAGACCAGGCTGCCCTTGAACTCTTAAAGATCCTCCGGCTGCCTCCCAAGTGTGGGGTCAAAGGTGTGCCTGACTCATTTAGCCTTAAGGATGTTTCAAAGATGTTTGCTAAAATGTTGCTCGAAGTCAGGTGGAAAGCCTTTGATTCTAGCACTTGGGAAGCAGAGGCGGGTGAATCTCAATGAGTTCAAGGACAGCCTGGTCTACACAGTGAGTTCCTGGACAGCCAGGGCTGCAAAGAGCCTGTCAAAAAACAAACAAACAAAAATGTTTTTCAAAGAAGGAAACAAACACATATTCAACAGTAGGAGTCTGAATGTTTCTGGGATACATGTGATCATAAAGACTGGAGTAAGGGGGCGGGGTTAGAGAGATGTTTAGGGGGTTAAGAAATGGCTGCTCTTCCTTCATCCCACGATGGATGGCGATACAGACAGAGACCCACATTGGAGCACCGGACTGAGCCCCCCAAGGTCCAAATGAGGAGCAGAAGGACGAAGAAAATGAAAAAGGAAATAAGGACTGCGAGGGATGCTATCACCCACTGATACAAGGGGACGGATCTAATGAGAGTTTACTAAGGCCAGTTGGACCGGGACTGAACGAGGACGCAATCCAACCAGATTCTCTGAATGTGGCCGGATTCTCTGAATGTGGCTGGCCCGGAGTCTTTCTGAAAAGCCATTGACAATGGCACTGGGACTTGTTTCCTCTGCATATACTGGATTTTGCGGATCCAGTCCGTCTGGACACTCACCTTCCTGGACCTGGAGGGAGGCGAGAGGAACTTGAACTTCCCACAGGGCAGGAAACCCTGACTGCTCTTAGGGATGGAGAGGGAGGAGGAGAGGGAGTGGGGGGAGTGGGAGGGTGGTGGGTGGAAGGGCGGAAATGGAAACTTTTATAATTTAATAAAATTACAAAAAAAGAAAAAAGAAAAAAAGAAATGGCTGCTCTTGCATGCATGTGGCCACTCACAACTATCTATAACTCCAGTTCCAGGGGATCGTTAGATCCCCTTTTTGGCTTCTTCATACACCAGGCACAAATACCCATGCAGGCAAGATACCCATGCACAAAAAATAATAAATACTTTTTAAAAAAGACAAAAGCAAGTTGGTCAGGGAGTTATGTAATAAAGGATGCTTCAAAACAAAAACAATGGAGTAAAAAGCCTGGCAGTGGTGGCTCTCACCTTTAAACCCAACACTGGGGGTAGGGGCAGAGGCAGGCTGATCTCTGTGAGTTCGAGGCCAGTCTGGTCTACAGTGAGTTCCAAGGCAGTCGGGACTGTTACAGAGAGAAACCCTCTCTCAAAACAAACAACAAACAAACAAACAAAACCAAAAAACAAACAAACAAACAAAATAGAATAGAGCAATGGCAGATCATGCCTTTAAACCCAATCTCCAAACTCAAGAGGCACAAGTGAGTTTCAGTGTAGCCAGGACCACATGGTGAGACCCTGTCTCACAAGACAAGAAAAGAAAGGGGGGGGGGGTGGTATAAGTGAATGAAGAAGAAAAAGAAAGAAGGGAAAAGGGGATAAAGGGGAGCAAATATGATTAAAGTGCATTATAAAATATTGGGAAAGAATAAAATTTTAAGAATACACACTGCAGGTTGGGCAGATGGCTCAGTGGTTTGGAGCACTTGCTGCTCTTGCAGAGGACACAGCTCAGGTTCCAGCACCCACACTGGCTAGTTCACAACTGCCTGTAACTTCAGCTCTGGAAGATCTACGCCTCTGACTTCTGAGGGCACCTCCACGCGTGTGCACAAACCCATTCACCAACACAGGTGAACACACATGATTAAAAATAAAATAATCTTTAGAAAAACAAAAAAGAATGGGGCTAGTGAGAAAAGGTATCCAGCGTTAGCAAGAAACGACAGGTGCTCACTTCGGCAGCTCACCCACTAAAACTGGAATGACACAGAGAGGACAGCATGGCCCCAGCGCAAAGATGCCAAGGCAAATCTGTGAAGCGCTCCATATTGGGAGGGAGGGACCTGCTTGGATTAAGTAATTGAACAGAGCTGGGTGCAAGAAACCCGCAGAGATGGGGAAGTGACTGTTGGGGATAATCAGGGGCAATGGACGGGTGTTAAAGCCAGGTGAAAGAGCAGATGGACAGAGCTGCCAGCCAGTCTGCTGGACCGACAGGAATCCTGGGGGCTCGGGCCCAGATCCAATCTCTTCTCCCTCTGCCTCACTGGATAAAACAACAGCAGATGAGATCGTACACAGTGGTCAGGCTATTGGGTGAGAGCAGAAGGGGGTGAATCTGGGAGACAATAACTGTAGGAGTTTGGATGATCATTGTATTAGTTGCCTTTTTCAATGCGGAGACACAGAGAAGAGCAACGAAGGGAGGAAGAGTTTGGTTCGGCTCACGGTTCCAGGGTATAGTGCATTGTGGGGACGGAAGCATGGCGCAGCCGGCCTCCCTGCACCCACAGCCAGGAAGGGGGTGAGAGTACAAACACTGGTGACCGGCTCTAGGTCTCCATCTTACTCAGCTTAGGACCCCAGCCCTGGGATGCTGCTGCTACACTCAGGCTGAGTTCGGCCACCACCATCCACCCAATCTAGAAACTCCCACGCAGACGAGCAGAGGCCTGTCTCCCAGGTCATGACATCCTGTCAAGTGGACAAGCCATGAACCTCCAGAGCCACAGCAAGAAACAAGCAAAGCCGTTGATGGGGCTGTGTTTTCTAAAAAGTACGCATAGTAGCACATAACTCTTAAGAAACTCCAGAACGACGGACCCCGAGGGGTGAAGAACGATAATGGTACACCAAGAGGGCCCACCCGCTAAACAGTAGGCCCACGGCACGTCTTTGTCCTGGAACCATCCTACACCTTTCAAGACGTTTGGCATCCCTAGCCTGCGCGAGGCACTAACCAAGCAATGGAATCTCCTGCACGATGACAATCGCGACTTCAAGACACTCTCCACTTCTCGGTGTGGCAGGGCACCATGCCTTGGAAGAACCACCTGGCGGGGAGGGGAGACAATAGTTCATCCTTTTAAAGTTTCTTTTCCCTCACTGGCCCTTTTCTAAGTTTTCCGCAAAGACTTCTGCGAAGTGGAAACCGCTCACTCTTTTGAAAAGGAGCTGATAAGGTGCTGATTTAGACCTCGCACCACCCCCCCCCACCCAGACTGTGCTTCCTCAGGCATGTTTGCTTGTGACAGTTAAGTAAATAAAAACGGGACTGAGCATTATTACACGGATGCCACAATTCATTTGAAAGTCACCAATAACAGGAAGGGTTCAATTAACTGAGATTGTTGCAATCCCTTTGATTCTGTTTCAAGTGCTTGTAATCATTACAAAGACTGCAGTATCCTACAATTCACAGGTCAAGTACGGGCTGTTACTAGCTTGTAATAAAACTGTAAAAGAAAAGGAACCCCTATAATTTGGTTTCAACATAAGAGTTGCCATGGCACAGCATTGAGTGTTAGGTTGAGTGGCAGCCACTCCTCTCCGCCCCTCCCCCAACAGAAGACCAGGCAAGCAATCTGAATGACAGATACTAGGAAACAGGGTTTGTTCTCTATTATTTCACATTTATCTGGTTTTTCAGGACAGGGTTTCTCTGTGTAGTCCCAGCTGTCCTGGACCTCCTTCTGTAGACCAGGTTGACCTCAGACTCGGAGATCAGCCTGTTTCTGCCCACTGAGCGCTGGGATCAAAGGTGTGCACCATCATCACCCTACTCAGGGGTTATTTGGCTTTTTAAAACAGGCACAGTTAGCTCTGTCCAGCAAAGGTGAGTACAGACTGGGGAGATGGCTCAGTGTATAAAGAGCCTGCTGCACAAACATAAGGACCGGAGTTTGCATCCCCAGCATCCATGGAAAATCTGGGTGTGGTGGTACACACCTAGAATGCCAGTGTTCAGGGTATGAGACAGGCAGATCCCAAAGGCTCACCAAATGTCCAGGTTCCGTGACATTAATAAGGTGGAGGGCTGGTAAGATGGCTCAGTGGACAAAGGTGTCTGCCACCAAGCCTGACAACTTGTTTTCAGTCCCAAGGACTCACATGGTGGAGAGAATTGACTGCCCTAAGCTGTCTTTTGACCTCCACATGCCACTTCCCCCCTCCCAAATAAAGAAGGAGGGGAATAGAGGGAGACATCTCCACTTTGCTCCCTGGCCTCCACAAGTGTATAGGTGAGCGAACACACCCATACACGCCCATGCACACACGTACTGAGGATGATTTTATCTGCAAGGTTTCCCATCTCTCAAAAAGCTCGCTGCAATCTAGAGAGACCCACGGCAACCCGTCAACAGTAGTTATTTCTAGTGCTGGGATGACCAGTCCTTACGTTTCTTCTTTTGCTCTTATATTTTCTAAAAAGGATGCAACAGAGAGTGTGTGGGTATAAATCAGAAAACAAGAAGTGGTGGGGGTCCAGGCCTACCCCGCTGAAGCGCGGCTCCGTCACTTGAGCGTCTGTTTGCTTTGCTGAAGCAGGAGAGCTCGCCAGCTCCTTCACTCACACAGCAAATATTTGTTGAGCTCTTTAACGCCAGGCCTTGCGCGGTGACTCCAGTACTTTCGGCTATTTATTGGGGCTGCAGATACCCTCCGAGCTGGCTATGCCAACCTCTTGGGAAATGAGCTAAGCCAACACTTTCCCGGCTTTCTGTGCAAGGGAACCACTCGGAAGCTGACTCGGTGGGTTTGGGATCTGAGGCTGTGAAGCCAGCAGCAGGCTCTCAGGATCCATACAGCTGCTGCTAAAGGTTTCTCAGAGAGTCCACCCAAGTCCCAACTCGCCCTACACCACGATTACCCCGCCCCCGCTTTCATCTGGGTTAGATTCAATTCTACAAATGCTTCCTTGGGTCCAGAGATGCAACAGAAGGGGGAACCCCCACTAGACAGTGTAACTTGAATCTCCTTAGGTAAGAATAGAGACCAAGAAAAAAGCAGGCAGGCATGGGTTTGAATCTCAGCTCCACCACCACGAGTAAGCTTTACTCCTCCCGTTCTCTGGGCCCCAGTTTCCTCAAGTGTAGAAGGAGCTTACTTGCAACCACCTTCACAGGGGAGCGTTGCAGGGACTACATGAGCTCAGAAACTTCTTCAGGACTTGACACCCTGGCAGAGGGCGAAGACAATAGACAGTGGCCGCCGCTAGTTGTCAACAGAACTCCAGGCGGAAGGCCTGGCTTCCAAGGGAGAGAAGGCGCAAGCCCTGCCCCCACCAGGATGTGCTCCAGAACGGTACAGAATCACTTAGGTTCTCAAAGAGGCTGAGATTCCCAGGATTTATTCAGGGAAATGTTCTTGATTTATCTCAAACTGGCTACAGGAAGATAACTGCGAAAATGAAAATTTTCTCCCCTTTATAACTGAAAATGTCCGAAGGGAGTAGGGTGGTTAAAAGAATTACAATAACTAACACTAGGGAATTTTCTTAGAGTTGGGGGAGCGGCTCAGTGGTAGTGCATCTGCCTAGCACGTGAGGCTCTGGGTTCCAGCACAGCACTGTGGAGGAGTCAGTTTGAGAAAAGCTTTGTTTTCAGGGACCCATGCACGTGGAGATCAGGTGAGAGAGGCCCTAGGTATTCCGGACACTCAAGATCAATAAACGCCCACCGAGTGTCCGGCTCCCGGGATAGGCCACCAGCCTCGAAAGAAAACAGCAAGCTAGGAACCCGCCCGCCAAAGACATCCTGAGGGTCACGACCGTCGGTTCCCAAGAGAGCCCAAGGAGAAAGAACCTGGATGTGAGTTTTGCACTTTACAAAGAAGTCGAGGCTGAGCTCAAGAGCGTTCCCGGAGCCCGCGGGAAGACCGGAGCCAGCTCGGTGGGCGGAGCTGGAGACGCGTGAGCCAGCCGGGTCCACCTGCCTCCCACCGCCCCGCCCGGCCCGACACTCACGATCTCGGCCACAATCAGGAGCCCCGGCAGGGTGCGGAGGAACTCTCGGTCGTAGGCGAAGCTGCTGCTGGTGGTGGAGAAGTTCTCTGCGAAGGAGCTGGCAGTGGTGGTGACTGTGTGCGAGCGCGGGCGCTGCGATTCCTCCATCGTCGCGCCCGGAGCTGGCCCGGGTCCCCGGGGACCCTACCCCCACCCAGCGAGCTCCCTGGGCCCAGGGTCGCTGGCCAGGGATAGGGAATCGAGACCGGTGGGTGGCGGGCGCGCCGGGGGTGGCCTCCGGGGTCAGGCCCGCGAGTGTCCCCACTCGTCGGCGCGCGTGCTCGGGAGCTCCGCAGGGACCCGGCAGCGGGATCGCTGGCAACCGGTGGCTGAGGGAGGCGGGGGAGGGGAAGAGAGGGGAGGGGCGTAGACGGGGCGGGTGGGGGGCGGGCACTCGGGGACCTCCCCTCGGGGGCGCCGCCGCGCGGCCACTGCACCTGTCGCTCGGGGACTGAGAGCTCGCAGGGGTGCAGGGACGCGCCAGGGAAGCGGCACCTCCTAGCTCCGGCCACAACCAGGCTCCGCCCACCTAGGGCCACCAGACTCGGACCTGCTTCCTCCCACCTGGCCGGACTAGCAGCAGGGCCTCTTAAGGAAACCCGGGCCTCCAGGGACGTGGCGACTCTGGGACTCAGACAACCAGGCGGATGGGGGAGGGAGACTGTAATTGTGATCCAGCCGGACCTTAGACCCGGGATCGATGCGATACCGCCTGGACAGTGGACAGTTCTCACCCACTCCTCTGCAGCCGCCACCAAAGCCGGGTGCTGTTTCCTGTCCCTCCTGTTGGGAACAATTTGAGGAACCAAATTGCGGGGCTGTGAGAACGAGACGCTTCCAGGCGTTCTTCACAACTCTGTCCGGTACTCGCTGGAGCACAGAGCGCAAGATGGAAGGTGGGGAGACGTTCAGGGTTCCTGGTCAAGATGTACGTATCATTGTGACCGTCCTCATGAGCCTTGGAGAGGAAAAAAAATGTTTCAAACAAGTTACAAAGGGATCGTCTGTGCTAAGTGATGTTTATGACAAGCTAGCAGTGCTTGCCTGGGTAAGGGAGGAGGAGGTGGGCATCGCATTGTATGGCAGCGCTGTGCCCAATAGGTGAATGCTGAACTGGGTGCTTGTGTACTTACCATGAAGTTTTTGGCTCTACTTTGCAGGGCCTCAGTGGTGCCACCTGTGTTTCAAAACAAAACAAGGGAAGAGCTTTGATGGATGATGGACCGCTGGCCAAAAAGAGTAACAACAGACATTTTATCTGAACCTACCAAGTGGGGAGGAAATAATCCGATCAAAATACAGTTTTGTATTCAAAGTGAAGGCACCCGCTGGTAGTGGTGCATGCCTTTAATCCCAGTACTTGGGAGGCAGGTCTCCCTGAGTTCAAGGCCAGCCTGGCCTACCAAGTGAGTTCCAGGACAGGCTCCAAAGCTACAGAGAAACCCTGTCTCTTTTCTTTATTTATATTTTGTGTATGAATGCTCTACATGTATGCTGACAGGCCAGAAGAGGGCATCAGATTCAATTGTAGATGGTTGTGAGCCACCATGTGGTTGCTGGGAATTGAACTCAGGACCTCTCGAAGAGCAGTCAGTGCTCTTAACCACTAAGTCGTCTTTTCAGCCCAAGAAACCCTGTCTCAAAAAAACAAACAAACAAAATGAAGGCATAATAGCTTTAAAAAGTAGCCAGGTATGCTCTATCGGGAGCGCTGAAAAGAAAGCACAAACAGCAAGCTAATAATAGAAAGAGCTAATGTAAGCCTGGAGCCTCCCCAGGAAGAACTCTGGGAATAAAGAGTCTCAAAGAGAGGCCAACAGTTCCAGGGTGGGGGCTCATATCTATAATCCCAGCGCTGGGGAACCTGAGGCAGGATAGCTACCAGTTCAAAGCTAGTCTAAAGCTACAGAGTGGGGCCCTGTCTCAAACAAGAGTCCGGGCTATATAGTGAGCTCAGTGAGAGCCTGGATACAGAGAACCTATCTCAAATAGTTGGAGATCATCTGATCCCCTCCAGAAACAGTTCAGGCCAGGCTGGGTTACAGAGTGAGATACAGAGGGGAGTCTCCCCTCCCTTCCCGCCCCCATTAAAAAAAAGAAAGAAAGAAAGAAATTGGAGTGTTCTCTCTCTCTCTCTCTCTCTCTCTCTCTCTCTCTCTCTCTCTCTCT